TTTCTGGTAACCGAATTCTGATGCCCTAGGGGTCTATTTATACTTGTGCTGCTAGGGTTTCAGTGAAAACCCTAATGGACAGCTTAGGCCTTAAGCAGTCTAAGGAACCTTCTGGAATAAGGCCTCCTTGGACGAATTCAAGATGGCCTCCATCTTAATTTCGTCCATGCCTTAGTCCATAAGGCTTCTCAGCCCAATATTCAACTATCACACAATTGATAGTTCTAGTCCCCTTTATTTAATTAATGTCTTTTAGCCACATAATTAATTCTTAATTAATTGTTGTCTAATATTAACTTTTTTTTTGAACCGGCATATCTAATCTACTCCTAAGCTAACAACACCTATTTCACCTATGTCCACGACAGGACTTGAACCCTCAACCTTAAAGAGGAAGGGCATCACCTGATAAACTATATGATTCCTCCTTTAATATATTATTCATATAATATATTAATAAACCACAATAACCTCTCTCTTCATAAATCATCCCATCTAGTTGCTTTGGTGAAGGCAACCCAAAAGGGTCATGCACAACCGGGTCAAATACTTACCAAATATAGTTACGGTCTTAGACACCAATCCAACAATTTTTTATGTATTACGTATTTATATCTATTTTTACGTATTTTTTTTTAAAGTTTTTATATGTATTTGCTTATATTTTTTATGTATTTTAAATTTATAAACGTATTTTTACGTATTTATATGTATTTTTATTTTTTATGTATTACGTATTTATGTACTTTTTTAAGTTTATTTATTTATATGTTTATGTATTTTAAATGTATAAATATATTTTTTACGTATTTATATGTATTTTTAAGTATTTTACATATTTTTTTATGTATTTCTATGTATTTTTAAGTATTTTACATATTTTTTATGTATTTCTATGACTTTTTTTATATATTACATATTTATATGTATTTTTACGTATTTATATATATTTTTAAGTGTTTTATATAAATGTTTATGTATTTTAAATGTATAGCTGTATTTTTTTTACGTATTTGTGTATTTTTTTACTTCAAGTTGTCTTCATCATTTCATCCAATTTGTACAGCTTCTTCATGTATGTCTAGATGGTTTCCCTACATCCCCATATATTTTAAACTTTTCTTATTCGTTTATCTTGAAATTAAACATCGAATGTGAAAAACTTAAAATATGTGGGTATGTAGGAAAATCATCTAGACATACTCGAAAAAGTTATACGTAGGGGTGAGAATTATTTTGTACAAAACCGAAAAAACCCGAAAATAAAATCGAACCGAAATCGATTGCAGACCGAACCATATTTAAATTAGGTTTGTGGTTTGGGTTGAGACCAAACCGAATTATGAATTTAGTTTTTGGTTCGAGTTTCGGTTTCAGGATGTTTAAACCAAACCGAACAAAAAAAACCGAATTTCATAAATCAATTAATTAAAAAATATATTTTATATTTTATATTAAATAAAAGTATTAATTATAAAGTAAAAATCATTTTATCCCATTTCTTCTTTGAATCATTTTATATGAAACTTTAGATATGTTTGCAACTTTAGGTTTCTATTTTAAAAATATTTTAATTAATGTTTGAAATTTTTTTATGTTAATATTTGGTTTCCTCGGTTTTTAAACCGAACCTAACCGAATTAGAATTCGGTTTTCGGTTTGGTCTAGAAAATTAGAATTCGATTTGGTTTGATTTTCGAATTGGACAAAAAAGGTTTTCAAACCGAGGAAACTGAAAAACCGAAAAACTAAACCGATTCTCACCCTTAGTTATGCGAATTAGATGAAATGGTGATGACGACTTGAAGTAAAAAAATACATAAATACATAAAAATAATACGATTATATATTTAAAATACATAAAAATACATAAACGCCTACATGAAAAACAAAAATATATATATAAATAAGTAAAAAATACATATAAATACATAATACATAAAAAATACACAACATATGTAAAATACTTAAAAATACATACAAATATGTAAAAAATATACTTATACATTTAAAATACATAAACATCTATATAAAAAACATTTAAAAAAATACATAAATATGTAAAAATACATATAAATATGTAATATACAAAAAAACACATAAAAATACATAAAAAATATGTTAAATATTTAAAAATACATATAAATACGTAAAAATACGTTTATACATTTAGAATACATAAAGATCTATATAAAAAACTTAAAAAATACATAAACACGTAAAAATCCTTATAAATAAGTAATAGATAAAAAAATAACACATAAACATACATAAAAAAAATATGTAAAATGGTTAAAAATACATTTAAATACGAAAAAATACGTATATACATAAAAATACATAAACATATATATATATATATATATATATATATATATATATATATATATATAAACTTTAATAAATACATAAATAAGTAAAAATAGGTATAAAGACGTCAAAATTACGTTTATACATTATATACAAATTTTGACGAAATCTGCAGAAAAGTCTTATTATTTTCGAAAAATTAACAATTTGGTTTCATGAGCTGTTGAACAGGTAAAAAATGCTATAGTGAATAAATTACTCGGTTTCTTGACTTTTATATTCAAAAAATTAAAAAGTCGGGACTTTTCTGTTCAATAAATAAAATTTATGACTTTATTAAAAAAATTTCCAAAATATTTGGACTTTTCTGAAGATTTCCCTATATACTTGTTATAACAAATAACAACTTATTGAGTTTTGTTGCAATCAAGATATATAGTATTCATCACTTTAAGTAATATAAAATACGAGAAATTTTAGAATTTGGAAATTGAGTAAACGAACCATTTTTATATGCGTTTTTAAAATAATATAACCTTTTTTTTCAAAATAACCACATTCTTCGGAATGAGTTATTCCATAACGTATTTCAGACTCGTTTTTAGGTGAGCCGGTCCGTTTCGTTGCTTCCGGAATTACCATTCCGAAACTTCTGTATGAAAATTTGAATTTCAAAATCCAGAATATATTTTGAAAACATTTGGACCCTCGACTTCATTCCGGATCTTGCTTTGACTTTCCGACGCGATTCAGACACGTGATTCTGATTCCGATTCCGATTTCGATCTCCGACACGCAATTCCGACATGGAAGACGACCATTACGATCCGGTTATTTTACGGGTATGTTCTTTACTCCAAAAGCCTGGTTTGCTTGTTTGCAAGGTTCTAAAAAGATAGTCGTGGCTTCGTCATGGCTCCAAAGCTTGTACTTGCCGCCAAGCTTTAAGAAAATGTCGTCTTGAGTCATATATGTATATAAAAATGAATAATAGTGGAAAAATATATAGAATTATTAATTATATACAAAATTGTCGCCTTAAGTCACGCCTTACAAACGACTTGGCTCGTCATGTCTCGAAAAAGATTAAGGCTTGACATTGCCGTGAAGTCACGCCTAACGTTATTTAGAACATTGCTTATTTATATAACGTGATTATTCACCAAGAACTATTGTTCCAGAATGTGTAGAACACCTCCAGAATGAACTGAAAATGTTTCGGAACATAAAACTTCATTCTAAAACATAATGTTCCGGAACATCGAAATGTAGTGCTCCGGAACATAAAATTTCATTCGGAAATGCTTCGGAATGCACACCAAAATGCCACAAAAATCACTTCAAAGCTCAAGAACACTCAAAGGATGAACTAGGGTCTTAATGGAACGTAATGAACAGTGGAGGCTGATGAGGGTAAGTGTCCAAAGGCCACAATGATGTTTAAATAAAGGCCACAATGATGTTTAAATAGGGCTCATGCCTTAAAAATTAGGGTTTGCTCTTGGCTATCGTACGTTCTGCGTACACCACGTACGCCCAACGTACGTGGTTAAGTTCCCCGACTCCAAGCGCGCCTGTACGCTAAGCATACCAAATGTACGCCTAACGTACGAGGGACCATTTTCATAAAAATTCTCAAACTTAAAGGACCAATCAAGAACATACCTGGAATCGAATGTTACATAATAAATTGTACTTTGGATTCTTATCGATTGCTCACAGAGCACCAAAGAGGTTCAGGTGGTTGCATCAAGTTTGGTTTTGTAATTTTTCTGGTTTGATTCTTTCTTTAGCTCGTCGGAGAAGACAAAAGAGACAGTGAGGGGTTGGAGGTGTTGGTCGGACATAACAAAAAATGGAAAGGGGAGGGAATCATGGGTGTGATAATATGGTTTTACATTTTCTGGTTGTACTTTCATTAATTATTTTTAATATTGTTGTTTAAATAATTAATAAATTAAAAAAATAACAAATTAATTAAAAAAGAAATAGTTGGGGGTAAAATAGTCTTTTTTTCATAGGGCAAGGACCAAACGTGCAACCAAAGTGTATAGTAGGGACCGTCCGGGTTAAAAAAACAAGTTAGAAACCAAACGTGTAAATTACCCCAAAACACAGGAACCATCCGTGTAATTTACTCTATATTTAATAAGTAGAGTATTTGAATACAAATGAAGTGCAATGTAGTAGTTTCAGAATGTTCTAGTTGTAGCCTTGTAGGGGACCAGGTTCAATCCGTGTCGCTTAGATTTTTTATGCACGAATCCAAACTGAATCTGGGTGAACCTGGTTCTTTGCTCCAAATCCCGACTCATGCTCGCCTATCCAACTTTTCTTTATTCACAAATTTGACTAAATTTTCATTTTGTTTACAAATTTTGTTCAAACTTTTTTTTATTATAAATTTTCTTAATTTTTTATAACTTTTTTTATATGTTGTTTAAAAATTAGGTTTTAAGAAATTTTATTTTACAACTTCTTTTATATGTTTTTTTAGGATTTTGGGAATTCATTTTTATAAAATTATTTTTTATATCTTCATTTTTGTGTATGATCTTTTTACATATTTATTTTTATGTATACATACAAATCCTAGTTGGACCACAAGTATAAAGTTTAAACTTTTAACTCTTTAATACAAAACTCAATGGCAAAAAAAAAAAAAAAAAGGAATACAAAGATTCAAACTTTTAATCTCCCTTCTGATACGACGGAAGACTTTCTACAGTTTCAATATCCCACAAAACCTTCTCCCGCGTTTTTGACCTCGGCGGTGTATCATGCGTGATCGTATTTCTCCACGGCGGCACTCCGCCGTTCGGCCGCAAGAAACTGCCGGTGTGCGTTTTCAGCCGGACCTGAAAACCGTCCCTTACCGGTTCCCAATTCACACTCCCATCTACATCCGGTTTCAATTCCGTTTGTATAACTTTTTTCCCCTTTACCCCTTGAAGAAATGGCGTATTAGATGCCATTAGGTATTTTCCGTAATAACTCTTGAAACGGATGTGATTTTTTCCGGCGGTGTAGACCACCCATTCGGCTTTTTCCGATGACCCATCGCGATCTTGGAAAACCGTTTCCTCGTCATCATCTGCCACTAGGTATTTGTCTTTTACGCTTCGAAGACGGATCTTTTTTGCTTTTCTGAATAGTTGCATTCTATCAGATTCAGATATTAAACAGATCAAATCGATTCTGTAGAAAGAGACTCGGAATTGTTTTTGACAATAATGGTGAAAGAAATATGATGAATCTGCGATTTTTGCCACCTTTTGGATCGTTGCAAAATATTGATGGAGATTGATTGTAGAGTAAATTATAGTTCTGTTCCCTATGTATATAATTTTTGATATTGAATATGGCCCAAAAAAGTGAAAAACAGATTGTGTTGCTTTATTTATTTATCTATTTTTATGTATATCTATGGTTTTATGTTACACTAAATGACCCATTTATTCTTACATTGATTCCAAAAAACAAATTTTTATCATATTCATCAGTTTAGCATGAAAAGAATTGGAATAAAAAGATAAGGATAGATAGGTGTCTTAAGACATTAGGTTATGTTTTTTTTTTACCTAACCCATCAAGTCATATTGTCCATAATAAGTTAAAAAGACATATATAATTGCCCAGATTAATTAATTATTAAGTTATTGTTATATTTTGAAAAATAGTGATTTTGCTCTCATTTAGATATCTTTTAAGGAAAATAATCCAAAATGACAACATAACACCTAATTTATCTATTAAGTCATTGAAGTTTTAATTGTTCAATTGACCAACAAATTTTTTCTGGTAATATTTTACCATTGATACCGGTGATAATCCGTTATCGACCCATGTGGACTCCACGTAATTAATGGCATAATAGAACAGAAAAGAAAAGTTTGTTCATCAATTGGGTGCGATTAAAACTTCAGTGACCTAATAGGTAAATTTTGTGTTATTGGTTGTCATTTTGGATCATTTTTTCATAAATTTGTTATCGAAAAACAACCAAATATATCAAAATTAATAATTTTTTATCCTCTTTCAATAGGGATCTATATTGATATATAAAAAATAATTTTTTTATTTTTTCAAAACAAACTCATTTTGTTTTGTTATTTTTTAATATTTAGGTTTATTTTTTATTGAAAAAACTAAATATATCAAAATTCATAATTTTGTTTCAAGTTGTTTTAAAAATATTTCGACTGGTCGTAAGATAACTAAGATATTTTTCAATGAGAATTTTCCATTTTCTTCTAACTTCTAAATTCATTCTTAAACCGATATAACTATTTCTTATGACTGGTCGGTTCGAATATTTTTAAGACAGATAAGCTGAGACAAAATTACCAATTTTGGTATATTTCTTTTTTGTTCGATAATAAATTTAAGGAAAAATGATCTAAAATGACAACTCATTAGGCCACTGATGTTTTAATTGCACCAAACTGACTAACAAAATTTTCTTTTTTATTCTATTATACCATAATTACGTAGACACAACCAGGTACGTGGAGTCTATGTGGGTTTGATAACAAGTTATTATCGATATCAATGGTATAATAGAATAAAAGAAATATTGTTCAATTGAGCACAATTAAAACTTCTGTGACCTTGTTAAATTTTATGTTATTGGTTGCCATTTTGGATAATTTTGCTCATCTTTTATAGTAGTTATTATTACTGGTCCGATCCATGCAGGCACAAACAAATCCCGATAAAATGACCATTTTACCCTCGTATATTAAATTACCAACCACAAGAAAAGACTAAACCAATAAAATAGTGGTTGGATCCTTGCCAATTGCCATCACACAAATCTTGAATTCAAACACAAAAAAGGAGGTAAAATACAAATTTGGCACATGATTCTTAACAAGAGAGATAACTCGCCGACATCAACAACCGCATGGTGGTCAGAAGTGGTGGTGGTGGCGGCAGGTGGTGGTTGCAAGCGGCTTTGTGCAATCGAAACCACTCTGACCAATAAACACACCACCACATTCGACATACATTCGAGCAAAAAACCATAATGTAATAACAAAAATGGCAAAGTTATCTAACTATATTAACTACCCCTAATTAACAACATTCATTCACACATAAATCCTTCACCATAATAAAATTGACAAACTGACATCAATAGTTTCACTTTCACCCCTATGCAGCACAACCACCACACATAATGCCCCTGTTATATCATAACACCGAGGTCAAAGTCAGTCAAAGATACATCTTTTAATGCATAACGTACAACTCATTAAACTTACATAATCGAGCAACCAGAGGTTTTACGCCTTTTTTGCCTCACTGCCTCCTTCCGCCTTGGAGGTTGAAGAACAACCTTAATCGCCATATCAAAAACCGCTTTCACATTCTAAATTTAGTATTAAAAATAGACACCGAGTTTATGAATGTTCCAAGGGTAAAATCGTCAAAAGACTCGAATATTATACAAGTGTTTTTGGTTTCATTTTCTTTACCTGTTGAGTCTTTGAGCTGCATTCTATATAAGCAGCTGCACCAATTTGTTTCCTCAGTTCCTCACCCTAACAAACATAAAACACTATTAAATAAGCTACTTTAACATCAATATACTTTATTTTTTTTACCCATAATAGCAACAATCAATGATTTAGTACCTGAGCAGATGTAATGACATTAGAACCGAAATGATCAGCTAAATATCCTCTGTCATCACGAAGATCTGGTAGTAAAAAAACGAAAAATATGCTTAAAGTGTTTATTTTTTCAAGAAATCTTATATTATATAGGTGATTGTTTTCAAAGAAAATCTTGAAACGTGAAATCAGATTTATTGTTTAAAATGTAAATTGTATTTGTACCTAATTTTGTTCCGACGAGTACTACTGGAACATTTGGTGCGAATCGGCGAAGTTCAGGCATCCACTGTATGAATAGTCAAAGATGACTTTATTAGTCAAAGTCAACGTTTGACTTTGTAAATTTAAACTTTTATAGATGAATTAAATTTTCTGTGGTCAAATGTTTTCGGTGATGACAACATAGTTACAAAAGGAAGCATACTTTTCATTTTTTTTTTTGTCTTAATAGTGAAAACAAGTTTTATCGACTTTGTAGTTAAAAACTAACAAATTTGACTAAAAAAGTCAAAATTGACTGTAACTTGTCGTCAAGGGTAATGGATTTCAACTTGATTATGGAGTTGTTTTTTTTAAGATTCAGTAAACTCAACATTCAAATTCTTTCTCTTATGATAACAAATTCTTATAGATGTCCAAAGTCACAATTGATTCTTTTTGACTTTAGAAAGTCAAATCTACTTAAGTTTGTGCAAGAAGATGAAAGATTCCAACTTGATATTTGGGGTTTTCTTCTTTTCCAAGATTCAAGAAATTTGACATAAAAAGATATTTATTTTGGACTTTTTAACCACAATGATAACAGACCTTATCAGTTTTAAAGTTGAAAGCAAATTGATTTGACTTTAAAGGGGTCAAAATTAACTCCCATTTTGTCAGAAGGTATTGATTAAAAAGGTTGCAACTTGAATGTGGGGTTTTTTTTTTGTTGGTTTTTTCTTTTTCAAGCTTCAAATAACTGCAACATAAAAAGAGATCTAGTTCACCTTTCTTTCTCTATAATGATATAATAATTCTTATCCATTTCCAAAGTCACATACAAATCAGTTTGACTTTAAAAAGTCAAATCAATTCAAATTTGTTGAAGAAGGTAATAAATTCAACTTCATTAGTTAATTATAGGGGTTTCCTCTTTATAAATATTCAAGAAGCTAAAACATAAAAATAGATGTAACTAAATGGTAACGAATCACATTAGTTTCAAATCCTAAAAGCTAATCTGTTTGACTTTAAAAAGTCAAAAATGACTTTAGTGTGAGAATGAGGTTATAGATTCATCTATAGAATATAGAGTTTATTTATATTTTAATATTCAAGATTCAAAAACCTAAAAGGGGTGTCAGTTCAAATTCAAAAAATTAGGTCAACTTTAAATTGTGATAGTGAAGAGTGAAGACAAAAAATAAAGGAAGATTTGAAAAAAACTATAAAAGGAAGAGAGCACTAAAAGAAAGTGTACCTTTTTTAGGACATTTTCATAGCTCGCTCTACTGATTAAAGAGAAAGCCAACACAAATACGTCTGCACCTCTGTAGCTCAGTGGCCTTAATCTGCTATAATCTTCCTGACCTTTAAATCACATGAAAATAATTATTAATTACCCAAAATACCCTGTAATGCACTCATTAAATATTGGATTTTAAAGAAAATACCAGCAGTATCCCATAATCCTAAGTTGACAATATTTCCATCCACAGCCACATTAGCACTGAAATTATCAAAAACCGTTGGGATATAATCCTGTCAAGAAATACAAATCCGAGCTTAAAAATTCAATCTTTGGTACAAAAATCTATGAATTAACATAAACCCACATGTAATTCACATCTAAAATTAGGATAAATTAACCAAAAGACCAAACCCACGAATTATCTTCAACAAAAACTTAGGTAATAATGTTGTGGTGACTTGTAATTGTGAAGTGGAAGTTGTACAAGAAGGTTTAGTTTAGAACAAGGAAGCTAAATGAACATCCAAAGAATTTGAAATTAGGTTAATATTACTCAGAAGATAATCCTACAAATTATAATTGCAAAAAACAAAGGTAGTTTAGCTGCAGTGACTTGTAATTTTTGCTACGAAAGTTGTACAAGAAGGTATAACCCAGAATAAGAAGGCTAAACTATGCTAAAAAATAAAGGGTGTTTTGAAATAAAGTGGGTTTTTTTCCAAGAGATTAATGTATCAGTATATACAGAGAGAGAAAGATTTACAGTGGGGAACTTGTTGCTTGTGTAACAAATGAGCATACAAGTCTTGCCAACAGCTCCATCACCAACAGTGACACATTTTATGAACTTTGAAACACTCATTCTCGTGTTCTTGAGCTCTTGCTACTTTTTGCAGTGATGATTTTAATGAAAGACAAACCCTAAATAAGTGTGTTTGAGAAGCAAGAGTGATGGAGAAGTTTCAGAGGAGAGAGAAGGGTTCGTGCAGAAGAAGACAATGGCGAAATGGGTGCCAAGAGAAAGGGGCACCTTGTTCCACGAATGTACTCCTGTGGTTTGAACAAACAAAGAAAGAAAAACATTTATTAA